GTCCGAGTTTAAGCTAGAAGATTGATTGTGTTAAAAAATAAGGCACTAAATTCATTAAAAACTTTCCTTCCTGTCAACTGCATAGTGGTGAAACAAAATGCTGGCCACTGTTAATGCCATTTTCTAGAGTGTAGAATTGCCAGTTGGTTCATCTATGCTTTCTGCCTTCTTTTGGAAGGCAACAGATAGAATGCGCAACGACGCGTAGAATGGTCAACTTCTGTCTAGCACAAATAACTGCATCGATGACTTCACCGGTTCCAGCAGAAGGCTCAAATGGAAGTAAGGAGAAATCCAAATGCCAGTGATTTCACAGTAGTTAGCTCCAAAAGCAATCATAAATGAGATCAATGTTGCCAAATGAATTTGCAAAGTGAATTGGATTATGTGAATCAAATCTCGCTGTGTTTTTATCCTAAGTAGTGGCGGCAAGTGATGTTTGCATCTGCCCGTAGGCTTGTTGATTCTATTCTATCGCAATTGGTCAATTTGGTGCTGAAGATGGTGCAAGTGTAGCATCCCTTTACTTCTCCCTAAGTTAAACAGCCAGATCATCTCAGTTGTTGAAAATTCTGGCGTTTCCCATTTGAGATTACTTTAGTTTACTGAGGCCTTTCACTATGTCTTAACTTGCAGACTGCAAGTTGGTTTTTAAGCTGAATTGCCGTGCTTAATGCACCATAATGAGCAATGAAACCTGTAACCTGGTGTCGCTTCCCGAGACTTCTCTGAGGACGAGAGACAAAATATTCGGGCAGAATATAAATATTCAGCACACAGGAAGGATTCGGTCTACTGGCATGGCCCGAAGGCCAACCCACCCGGCTTGGTACAAAAAGGCCAATTCAAAAGTTGCTTCTCGCCAATACCGAGGGATGAGCAACCGTCGTAATACACTGGCTCTTACGCCTAAGGGTTTTCAAAATCCGGCTGAGTGTCGCAAAGCATTATTACTTTGAGCGTTGTAGTCAGTTGTATTCCTGAGTACTAATCATTACAATCTCTTTGGGTAAATATATTTATAATCTTGAGGTAGCGCAATGATGAATGTGTTAGTGAGGGCCTCACTGATGGCTCAAACAATGAATACTTGTGATAGCGCTAGTGTAAGCAGTGGATAAATTGACTGCTCTAAGGTCTGCAATGAAGTACGATGACTGTTCTCACGAAGTTGTTTTGAATGCTAGAGATTTGCATGTGGCATGCGTTACTCTCTCTTAGGCGACAATGGACGGAGGATGGTGCCATTTGGCACCACTGCATTATATTTACTGTCCTCACTTTACAAGGCAATGATCAAAAATAGAGGCAAAGTCAAAAATTATTAAAAAACGTGTCTTTCTTTGATTAATTTTAATTTAAAAGCTTAATTTGTTTTGTTTAGATTTGTTTAGATGTACAGTTATTTAAAAACCACTTCTCAACAAGCTAGCTACGATGAATGGTTAAATTATTGTTCTCTATTTTTGTTTAGATGTGTAGTTATTTACACTTCACTTCTCAAGGCGAGTTTACAAGATGGTGCGTGTTCCCGGTGGGCAGTCTCTGCCCAAGATAGCATGTTAGTTTTACATCTGCATCCGTATTTTCTGCGCGTTTGTTAGCTT